ATCCTGATGAGTGAATTAGCACACAAAGGTGTGTCACATACCGCTCATGTTGCGCGCCTGATTTAAGGATTTCTCCTTAAGAATCAACAGCACTCTGAAATAATAATGTTGAGGCGTTGGCTCCTATTGGTCTAAGGGAGATCCCGTGGCCAATATACGCCCAACTTATTTCAGGAGTAGGGCAACTTAAGTTCTGGCACTACAGAATATCGAGCATTCCTAGACACACTTGGCTGGACACCCCCACTACTATAAAAAGGTAGCCCTCAGGTTATGATAGTATACTATCATAGCCATGTTAACACAGATTACACTTACTAATCACACAAACATAAAAACTCGACAGTTAGAATGGTGAAACAGGGACACCCAAGTCAGCCATGCAAATTTCTGAAAAGGTGTAATATTTCAAATATATATATATATATATATATATATATATATATATATATATATATATATATATATATATATATATCAAGACAATCAAGATGGTTTCCAGTGAATGAAGTTCAGGACTTAACGTCACAGCGATGATGTTGAAACAGCCAGAGGAAGTTCTAGAAAGAGTACATGAATCATCATTGTGAACTATAGGTAGCAATGGAAAGAGAGCATGTAGGTCATCTCAGATGTACTTATCCAATTTAGTAGGTCACTGCTCCCCTCAGTCCATGGTGATTGCTTTTTCTCTGGTAACCACTGATCGTCTCACATATGAGGACAAAGGAACTGCACTGGAGCCCAACAAAGCTCCTGAAGGATTCCTTGGACTGATGACACAGGTGGCCTGCAATACTGTCTCTCAGCCACTGGAACTCACACACAAGCTCCTGCCATGTTGAAGTTCTGCCTGATCTCTAAGGAGGTATCATCCCAAGCTTAGGAATCCTTCAAAGATTAAACTGGTACTTTGAAAGCGAAAAATTTTAATGAGCGAATTAAAAGGTCTCCCGACACCTCAGAGGTCTGGCAAAAGAATCACGCCCCAGAGTCCGCTTGGCGTCTCTAGAAAAGAAGTGCTGTATTCGTGCCGAAGGAGTAAAAAAGCTTACAGGAATTTTTGAATAATATGTAAGAAATATTTATCCCACAGTTGCAAGTTTGAAAATGTAGACTTCTCAAAACAACTAGAGGGTATAGAAATGTTTATTTCACCAGATAGAGGTATATATTAATATGAGGGGTATATACCCCCCTCCCTCCCGGACGGGGTTACATTTGAAATGTGACGTGCCCGCTAGGTATGTCAGCGCCACGACTAGTCCACAGTGTAGGGTTGGCTGTTCACTCTGCGACAAGGTGGAATATTGGCGCTAGATAAAAGGTAAGCCGATTTTCTACAATGTCTCCAAGTTTCATCATATTCTAGCCACTCGTTTGCATGTAACTAATATTTTTGTACATCATGTTGGTTTTTTCGAGGTAATGCCCAGGAGCTCAGGTTAAAGGGACAGTTAGGTTCAGGGCCTCAGATCTGGCAGGGTTAAGTTTGTTATAGTTCGACCTCCTAGACTAACTCTTCCATGATGTTCTATGGCATCAATCATAATTCTTTCTAAAAAGACATTAAACACTGTTGGAGAGAGGAGTCAGCCCTGCCGGACTCCCACTGTTGTTCAGAACCAGCTTCCTATTTGTCCGTTCAGTGTGACAGCACTGCTAGCCTTGAATCCTCAATAAGGTTATGTATTTTTGTTGTTGTCCAGGACAAAAGGAACACCCTAACCTGCAGTCCACAGCAACAGCACTAGCCAAGTACGCAGGTTCGAGTTCCCCTTTCCCCTGCTTTTGTATTAAAGTGACGCAGCAAGGAGTTGGATGCAGTTTTCAGTTTTTTTGCTAGTTGCCTAGACTGTTAATGTCTTATTGTGTAACTGTAGTGTCTCTTTTACTCCCTTCACCCATCTCTTTTGTGGTCAGCCTTTTGACCTTTAGTCTACTGTTCTCATGTAGTACACTCCTACATATCCCCCCTCCCCCACTTTCCAGTAGAAAACTAAATTATAAATACCTGAATAACTTGGCCACATCAATGAAGTGAAACAAGAGCACTGATTCTGATCCATGATTCTGGTGATCGTATGAGATGAGTTGAGCTGTTGAGTCAAGAATTGACATCACAGCACTCAGGGCATTCCCATGCATGCTCCTTCCTCATCTTCAGCAGCCAGCGCAGAGTTCCAATACTGATGGTACCGGTCACAATCTGGTTATATGTTCGCCTTGCCTTTCCTCTGAGTGTAGTGGGCCGGCCAGACCCTCTGATTACACCCAGGTTTCTCATTCTCTCCAGGCCAAAATAATCATCTTCCTCTACTGATTCCGTTGCTTGTTCTCAAAGAGCCTTGACCACATCTGCCTTGTCATGCATCAATTCACCACCCAGTGGTGCAGATCCAGCCAATCTGTCTGCCTGTTCATTACTCACCATGTCGGCAAAGCCTGGAAAAAAGGTTCAAAGTATGCTCACTACCCATGACCTTTCCAGTTAAGCTTGCCACTCTGCTCAAAGCATCCCTGTCTTCACCTCTCTCAGCATGCTTTCAGAGTCTGTTATAATTACGACATGTGTATGCATTTTGTTCTCGTATGAGATTGTGAAACATGAAGAACACCAATGATTACAGACAGGGCACATGATGACGATAATTACAACATATTAGCAATGATGACCTATACTGTACACATTATTACAATGTGCTTTAACAATTGCTTACATTCTGGGCTATAAACAACAGAATAAAAGAAGAATACACAAACACAGACTAACAAAATATACACAAAGTATAGGTGTCATAACATATTTATGTGTACAATCAGATTTATTCACCACATATACTTACCAATAAATTCAACAACTAATGAAATAATGAGCATGTTAAATCCACTCCAGCAAAAACTTGGAGACTGAATAAATGAATCAAGAATTGACATCTAAACACTCGGGACATTCCCACAGGTGTTCTGTCTCCCTCAGCAGCCAACTGAGAGCTCACATGCTAGTAGTACCAGATGCAACCTGATGACAAGTCCAACAACTATGTTTCCCTATCAGTGCTGAATATCTTACAGAACATCTGCCTCCGTCCCACTTGCAATGTAAGGATTCTCTAACTGTTATAACAGACAGATTATGAGAAGAAAATAAGACTTGAAAACTGCTTTGTGGCTGAATCACCTTTAAAGTCAAATTCATACAGAACGAGAGTCATCAGCTGTTACATGCTGCGAGATTTACTGAGAGATCTCAGTGCTAATGGACTGAATGGTTCGATGTGCACTGAGGGTACTCTGCCAATTAACAGTCATATACATGTGCCAACTTTATTTCCTCTAAACCTCACTTTCCAATGATAAGCACAAAGAGAAAATGGAGATGCTATCATAACAGTTAGGTTGTAAAATGAGGATGGATTACAAATGTTTTGAGACAAGACAAGAGGCGTTAAATACAGGGACTTGAGCAGAGCAGGTCAATCCACCAATTGTCAGAGAGAACTTGCTAAAGTATAGCTAAGAGGAATATTAATATTTCCAGCTAAGAGGAATATTAATATTTCCATCTATGAGGAATATTTATATTTCCAGCTATGAGGAATGTTAATATTTCCAGCTATGAGGAATGTTAATATTTCCAGCTATGAGGAATGTTAATATTTCCAGCTATGAGGAATATTTTTATTTCCAGCTAAGAGGAATATTAATATTTCCAGCTAAGAGGAATATTAATATTTCCAGCTATGAGGAATATTTATATTTCCAGCTATGAGGAATGTTAATATTTCCAGCTATGAGGAATGTTAATATTTCCAGCTTTGAGGAATGTTAATATTTCCAGCTATGAGGAATGTTAATATTTCCAGCTTTGAGGAATATTAATATTTCCAGCTAAGAGGAATATTAATATTTCCAGCTTTGAGGAATATTTATATTTCCAGCTAAGAGGAATATTAATATTTCCATCTATGAGGAATATTTATATTTCCAGCTATGAGGAATGTTAATATTTCCAGCTATGAGGAATGTTAATATTTCCAGCTATGAGGAATGTTAATATTTCCAGCTATGAGGAATGTTAATATTTCCAGCTTTGAGGAATATTAATATTTCCAGCTAAGAGGAATATTAATATTTCCAGCTAAGAGGAATATTTATATTTCCAGCTATGAGGAATGTTAATATTTCCAGCTTTGAGGAATATTTATATTTCCAGCTATGAGGAATATTAATATTTCCATCTATGAGGAATAGTAATATTTCCAGCTATGAAGAATATTAATATTTCCAGCTATGAGGAATATTTATATTTCCAGCTATGAGGAATATTTTTATTTCCAGCAAAGCTTTTAACACTTTTCACTACTATCAAACATAGGTTAAAAAAGATCGTGGGCATATTTTGAAATGAGCTGGTCGTTAATCTCGAGCCTAGGAGCGACCAATACAATAGGGTAGAAATCATAGCTCTCCATGTCTGCTGGTTCGTCGCCACCTGTTTTAGGTCTTGGATGTTCGTTAGGCCCACAGTTGAGCCTGCCCCGATGATGGTTCTAAGCAGGTTCTTTCTTGGTCTTCCCGTTTTCTTTTCCCTTCCGGTGTCCACATGAGGACTTAGCGGGGGAGTCTTGTCTTATCCATTCTGAGCGCATGGCCGAGGCACTTCCTTATAAAACTGGATACATTATTTTGCTTGGTCTCCCGTCTTATTTGCATATTGGATCTGACATCTGTCCAGTGAAGATTAAGTATTCTTCTAACACATCTGTTCTTGAAATTGTATAATTGTCTTTATCCAGAGCTACCGTTGATTTCCAACTCTCGCATACTTAAGTTAGCACTGGAATCACACAAGAATTGAATATCTTATGTTTTGTGTGTTTGCTGTATTTTGAAATACATACCACAAATAAATGTGCATAAAACATGCAACACAGTCCAACTTTCATTCTTCTCTTCTCTTTCAAACCCACCATTTATAACTGGGGTGACCACAAGAACTATAACTTTTTGCCTTTCTTCTGTTTAGCTGTATGAGAGCTGGTATCTTCAAGTTCTTGCAGAAACTTCTGGCACTTTCCCATGAGAATCTTGATGGCTTCAGAGACTAAGACATCGGGAGGTAGAATTCCTGTGGATTCCACAGAGACTGAAACAGGAAAGGAAATGTTAACCTTAAAGTTGTGTCCCAATGATTCAGTATTAAATTTACACCATCCTGCTTTATGCTTCTTCAAAAGTTCGGGGTCAATATTAAAGGCAGTTTTTAATGTGAAGAGGGTCTATTTCATTGCACCAGGATTTCATTTTTAGCTCAAGTACATACTAAAGACAACACTGCAGATATAGATAATCTATTTCAAGCGAACAAAAACAAAAAGAAGGAGAAAAAGAACTTTAGCTGCCTTTTTTCACAGAACAGCTAGCCACCTGCTGAGTGTTGCAAGAAGCACTATGGCCAAAGCTCCAGTGACAATTCCCAGGGGTTTCCATAAAAATTGCACTTGTGAACCGAATGAAAGCTGTGAAACAAACCCATATGTCAAATGGTGTTGGTCACCAAGTGTGTACAGTTTTCTGATATAGATCTGGTAATCTTAGTTTTCTGAAATAGATGTTCTTCCATAGCATGATGGCATACTGTCCAACACCAAAAACCAGTTGTATACACATGTCGTAATTGTAACTGGCATGCTCACACTGCGGGCGGAGCTAGGTATGCTCTGTGCAGAGTGGCAAGCATCGCTTCTGAAATCCCAGGTAGTTAGCATCTTTTGAATATGTTCTCCAAGACATGTCAGTGTCTTGGATGGCAGATAGACTAGCTGATTATGCACCACGACTAGCTGATTCTGCACCACTTGGTAGTGAACTGATGCATGACAAGCTAGATGTTGTAAGGGCCCTTCAGAAGCCAGTGAACAATTCAGAGGCACAAAGATATCATCGCTGTCTAAGAAGAATGGTGCTGCGAATAGTGATCAGGAGATCTGATCGATGCTCAACACTTAAGGGACAGATGAGATGGATATACAACCAGACTCTTACTGATGCCATCAGATGAGATGGATATACAACCAGACTCTTACTGATGCCATCAGATGAGATGGATATACAACCAGACTCTTACTGATGCCATCAGATGAGATGGATATACAACCAGACTCTTACTGATGCCATCAGATGAGATGGATATACAATCAGACTCTTACTGATGCCATCAGATGAGATGGATATACAATCAGACTCTTACTGATGCCATCAGATGAGATGGATATACAACCAGACTCTTACTGATGCCATAAGATGAGATGGATATACAACCAGACTCTTACTGATGCCATCAGAATCGGAACTCAAACCTCACCACAAGCATTTGTAATTATCCTGACACGCTCCAGTCATCCCCCTTCCCTAATGGGCCCAAAGAACTGACCTGATTCAGGCTCAACACGCTCCAGTCGTCCCCTTCCCTGACGGGCCCAAAGAACTGACCTGATTCAGGCTCAACACGCTCCAGTCGTCCCCTTCCCTAATGGGCCCAAAGAACTGACCTGATTCAGGCTCAACACGCTCCAGTCAGTCGTCCCCTTCCCTGACGTGCCCAAAGAACTAACCTGATTCAGACTCAATCTTTTTAATCTGACAAATTTAATTCACTGAAGTTAATTTTCTGTTAAAGAAACCAGATTCAAAGCACCTGAAACTGCTAATTTGGTAGCAACTATTGTACATAGATAGTTTCCTAAGTCTCCCCCAGAAGACACACTAGAGAAATCACTGCTATGTATGTGAACTTTGTTGCACGTGTGAGGATATAAATGTTTACGCCAGAATCACACACACTATAATTACTCTCTGGTGGATAGGTTTTCTAAATTTAGCCCTCACAATAGTACATTCAACATGCCTTATTCAATTACTAAGGGGGGAAAAAAACTCCCATAAATATTGATGATGACCAAACACTTTATACTTTAAAATTATATTTTTCAAATGTGCCGTCCACAATTTTCTGATTTCAATGCTTTTGACAATTCCCATATTTCTCATCACTCTAAGTTTGTTACTTACGATTTTCTGACTTGCAGAAGTAACTGCGACCAAGATTTACTTTTGGCCACATCCAGCCAAACAAGTTTATGTTAGATAAATGTATATTTGTTCCATTTGATAAACATGCAACTTTTGCTATATTTAAAAAAAATAGGGCTCCCGCGGCGTAGCAGCTAGACATTTGCCTGTAGATCAGAAGGTCGTGGGTTCAGGTCATGGACAGAACTTAGCTCCCTGGTTGACTCAGCCTTAAATGGGTCCCAGGTAAAGTCCTGGGAAGTAAAGACAGCTGGCGTGATGTTGACCCTACAACCCAATGAATGCTCATTCATCAGTTCTCGTTATGCCTAGTGGCACATGAGGCTTCAGAGAGGACTTTCCATGCTTTCCTGTCCTGTGCAATCTTTAGTGCAGTTTTCCATGTCAAAGATGCCGCACTCAGGTCACTTTCTATCGTTCGTCTCCATGTTGTTTTTGGGCGCCCCTGTTTTCTCTTTCCCTCTGGTGTCCATGTGAGAGCTGTTTTGGCAGGTGTATCAGAAGTCATTCTCATAACGTGGCCAAGCCATTTCCATCTTCTCTTGGTAATCATACTGTCTATAGTTTCTTGGTTTGTGGCTTGAAGTAGTTTAGTGTTGAGATTGTATCTGGCCAGAAAATTTTGATAATTCTACGTAGACATGTGTGGTGGAAGGTGGACAGCTTGTGTGCATCCTTTTTGGTCATTCTCCAGCATTCCGCAATGAATGCTCATTGGTCTATAAAATATAGATTTAGCCCTAAATGCCCAACATGTCTGAAGGTGGGGGTGAAGGTCCATTCACTTTTATATTCAATAAATGCACACACACACACACACACAAAACATTCTTTGAAATGCCATTAAGACAAGCAGTAATAATAAATAACTCACAAATAAAATGATCTCTGACTCTGGACAGTGACACCCCTTCTTTCAGGTCCTCGTGTCTGAAGACATTTCGGCTGCAAGTATCCAGGCGGGCATTCACAACTTTTGCCACTTTTGTTCCTGGACATAAAACAATACAGCAAGCATTGAAATATGGTTAATAAATGAATAAGCAAAAATTCAGGAAAATGATGTGACAACGATGAAAACCAAAGAAATTGATCCACTAAACTATGACTAAGAAGCAAACGAAAAGTGGAAATGTAGCAATGTACACATAGAAGACTAAAAGACATTCTGGCCGCAGCTTTTCTCGAAATAAACTCCAACAAGAGGAAGATTATCCTGGCCACCAGAGCCTTTGCGCACACTCACAGGAAAGGGAAAAAAGAGGGGGAGGGGGGGGGGGAGGGAGGTTGTCCCATGTGAAAAACCATGAAATATTAGAAAAGGAAAAGTTGCAAATCGAATACCAGTATGAAAATGAAACAACAGACACAATACTCAAACATATTTTCTTTGGTAATTCTGAAAACATCAGGTCAATGTTCTTTACCTTTAACACATTCAGATCAAAACACCTTACAGTACATATTTTGGTTAACCCCTTAAACATAAAAGCTATGGCATGTACTGGGTAGATGCTTGTCTGCTGGCCTAAAGGACACGGGTTCAAATCAGCATCAATGTGGATTTTTTCTTTTTAAAATTGGTCTCGGCTTTCAGATAAACCAAGCCTAAAATGGGTGCCAGGTGATGTCCTGGGAAGTAAAGGGGGTCAGTGGGATAATTCGTTGACCTCACTGCCCACTGAGTGCTGATTAGTCTATAAAACTAATGGTCTAGCCCTATATGCCAAAGGTTCTTTATTTTATTTTCAAACCTTAGACCAGTGACTCTCAACCTTACCAATGCCGCGACCCTTTAATACAGTTCCCTCATGTTGTGGCGACCCCCAATTATTTTATTTCAAGACTTCAATAAATATGTGTTTTCTGAAGGTCTTAGATGGCCCATGTGAAAGGGTCATTCGACCCAAAAAAGAGTCGCGACCAGCAGGTTAAGAACCGCTGCCTTAGATGATATGATAGTTTCTTGAGTTGCCTCTTTGTGTGGTTGCGTTACCCAACTCTATAGTGATTACTGGTTAACATTGATTACTTCAATAGGATTATTATTTGAAATCTTTCATCAGAAAATCTGCATACATTATTCTGTAAATATGCCTTGATAGTTTAACACATGCATACATATGTCTCACAGACAAATACAGAACGAATGAACAACTTTATTTATATAAGGAAAAGAAGAAATGTTAATTTCTCGGAAACAATTAGTTTATGGATATTTAACAAGTTAGAATTATCATTTTCTTTTTTCATTAAACGTGTGCACTGACTATACCTTGCACTTTACTTATGATAAAGATGAATGTATTTGTTCAATATCAGCAACTCAACTTTTTCTTCTCCTGCGTTTATCCGAAGACGCAAATTGCATTGTGCCCGTTTACAAAATGGCTGGGATATTTGCACCTTTCAGCCACCCCATCTGACTTCTGTAGACATTTTTTTCCCTGTTTAGCCTTGCCAGCTATAATTACTTTGATGAGGTAAAAGGTGGAAGAGAAGAAGAAGAAGCTACAATTATTTCTCTAGCTCTCCTTAACTGATCTTACAGTCAGCTCTACTAACTATGAAGCTCAGTCTTACCATCAGGTCTCTCCACCAGCTCAACGACACCTGGAGAGAAACACTTCTGCAACTTTTCAGCCTGCTCGCCGTGAAACTCTTGAAGCAGACGGATCTCTGGTAACAGTCTGTAAGATGCTGTAGCTGTGAACAACGATAGGCAAAGTCTATTTATCTCATATTATTCGGTTTCTGAATAACAAGAACAGCAACAGTTCAATAGTAAAAGAACTTTAAAATGTTCACCTTCTAAATGAAACCTTACATTAAGCAAAGATCATGAACAGGTCTGGACTTTCTTAAGTATATTGACTAAGTATGCATGCATGTATGAACTCTTGAGTACCAAGCCACGCTAATGCCCTTGTTACAATCAATTTCCACTATGAAGCTGCTAGCTGTAACAGCAAAGGTGCTATTCATCCCCTATAAAGTTTCCCCCAGTTTAGCTCACAGAAAATGCCCATGTGTTTCCTTTGCCCCAAACTACTGATTTGTCCATGTAAACTACAACATTACCTTGATATGCCTTTTCATCAATTAGCATTGTGTAATTTAAGTATCCACAAGAGGAATGAAGACAGTAACAGTGAGTACAGTTGAGAGAAGCAGCTCCACTACTGTCTGACAACACTTACCAACTGGGGAAAACTTAGCATGATCTTTACCAATTCCTTTCACACAGAAGAGTTCCAGGTCCAGTTCCTGCAAGAAAAACAACAAATAACTGAGCACACTAACAAATAACAAAGTCCCAGCTGATAATTCACCGGCATGTTCCTGGGATCTACAAGGGAAGCACATAACAGCAACACTGTAAGATATAAATATGTTATCAACCTCCTATACTAACTGTTTCATGATGTTGTTCTAGGGCGTCAGTCATAATTCTTTTAAATCAACGAACACGTGGTAAATATGTCATGAGATATAAATAAAAAGAAAAGATAACTACGGCATGAGTCTGCTATGTCGTCCCATAAGGAATGTCGCTGAAAAATCCAATTTATCATGCACAAGCTGACAGACGACTTGGTATTATGCCACGGTTGATGATCTATACTTCACTGGGAATTTAACTGGTAGAAAAAAGGTTGATAATAATAAACACAGATTTATTTTCATAATATAAAAATATACAAAATATCTCAAGAGTTGTGCAGAGCCTGCTTTTTTTTGTGTATGGATGCGAATGCTGGATGACTGATGAGTAAAAGATGGGACAGCTGGATGACTGATGAGTAAAAGATGGGACAGCTGGATGACTGATGAGTAAAAGATGGGACAGCTGGATGACTGATGAGTAAAAGATGGGACAGCTGGATGACTGATGAGTAAAAGATGGGACAGCTGGATGACTGATGAGTAAAAGATGGGACAGCTGGATGACTGATGAGTAAAAGATGGGACAGCTGGATGACTGATGAGTAAAAGATGGGGACAGCTGGATGACTGATGAGTAAAAGATGGGACAGCTGGATGACTGATGAGTAAAAGATGGGACAGCTGGATGACTGATGAGTAAAAGATGGGACAGCTGGATGACTGATGAGTAAAAGATGGGACAGCTGGATGACTGATGAGTAAAAGATGGGACAGCTGGATGACTGATGAGTAAAAGATGGGACAGCTGGATGACTGATGAGTAAAAGATGGGACAGCTGGATGACTGATGAGTAAAAAATGGGACAGCTGGATGATTGATGAGTAAAAGATGGGACAGTTGGATGACTGATGAGTAAAAGATGGGACAGCTGGATGACTGATGAGTAAAAGATGGGACAGCTGGAGGTAGTGGAGAAGAATGTTGAGAATAGCAAAGACAGTAATGGAAACAAATATGGTGATAACCTCACTGTTAAACAGACCAGCTGCAATTCAATGGGTGATGTAGTCAATATATTTATACTGTTGAAGAAAGACACTGTGATGAAAACAGACTTCCTGCCCTTAGTGGCGAAGCACCTGATGATGATGAGTACAACTACTGACAGCAAACTTACATGTCCCTGTCTCAGCGAAGTGATCAGTATGTCTTCATGAACTGGCCGGATACCTTTACTTTTCTGTAAAAACATTCAGGTGAAAAAGCTGCTGTTATGACCATGAACGTAAAGGATTACAACTGACAAAACAATGCACTTTTCAAAATAATATTTTTACCAATACAGTGTTACTGGTGCCAAACTTGCACATTCACAACAAAAGAAAAATGGAAACAAAAAAATCAGAAATGATAATATCAAGAAAGATGCTGGGATGGAACCAGTACTAAACTACATCAAAAGACAACAAATCAAGTGGTTTGGTCATGTGTCAAGACTTCCACCAGACAATGCACCACAGAGAGCCTTGTCACTTAGACATAACCTAAGCAAAACCAGAGGCTGACCACATCAGCGATGGATAGACGGAATATCCAAGGTCATAAATACCAACATCTACATAGCACACCCCAAGACTATCAATGAGTGACATTTTTTACAAAAGTGACCTTGGCTCCCAGGTTGACAAAGCCTACAATGGGTACCGGCAAAGCATTGGGAAGCGTGGGATGTGAACAACATCACCAACTGAGTGACGACTGTCTGGCATCATAAACCCGCTGCACCACTAGTGAAATAAAAAGAAACCTTTGAGTGACCTTTTTCTTACCCTACTGAAAAACAAAACTATCACTGCATCACATACAGAAACCAACTGCAGAGGCCAGAACTATTCATCAGCCATCTTTGCTTAGACTGTGTAAAAAAAAAACACCAAACAGAATTGTTTCCCCTATGCTCTGTTTCAACTTTGCATGGAGCATAGAACCCAGACATCCTACATGATCTGAGCATCAAGGAGAATTTACTCATAAACAGCATCCTGTCCTGAAAGCTGGAAGTATTTTTCTCCATATTAAGTGTCAAGGATAACCTACGTAGGATAACCTACAGAGGATAACTTACAGAGGATAACTTACAGAGGATAACCTACAGAGAATGGTGAGGGAGGGTAGTTTCTAGAGGCAGAGGCAGAACTAAGCAAACGTAGATAGAAGACAATTAGGATGCAATGGTCAAGAAAGTATATAGGACTGCAGAACTGGCCCGAGAAAGAGAGACTTTCAGGCACGCAGTGATAAGAGCGAGGTTCTGTAAAAGATTTGCTTAGTGATGAGGATACAGCACAGACCCCCAACCTACTCACACAAAGGCGTCTGTAGACTCATTCACATTTCACTGGAATTTTTGAATCCCACACTGGGAGCTGCGGCAGCGAATCAAATAGATGACTGCCTGCAGGCCTAAATTTTCTGGGATCAAATTGAGTCAGATTTTTAAAAATATGACAATGGCTCCTGAAATGGAGCTCTCAACCTGTGGGTCACAACCATTTTTGGGGGATTGACTGACCCTTTTACATGAGTCGCCTAAGACCATCGGAAAACACATATACACTGAAGTTATGAAGTAGCAATGAACATAATTTTATGGTGGGGGTCGCCACAACATGAGGAAAAGTATTAAAGGGTCGCCACAACATGAGGAACTGTATTAAAGGGTCGCAGCATGAGAAAAGTTGAGAACCATTGTGCTAGATCAACCCAGACTGAAATGGGAACCAAGAAATGCGGTGGGAAGTTTAAGGTGGCCTGCGTGACAGCTGAATGGTCTACAGAGAAATATTAGTCTGGCATCGAATGCCCAATGGGTCACTGGCATGAAAAGGCTCATTTACTACTTTAACTTTTTAATCCCATACTGAACCCACTTAACCACCTCATATTATTATCTATGTCCTTTATGGACACTGCTTGAGAATAAGGTTAGCTTCACAGTGGTGGTCTCCAAAGTTTTTCAGGTCATTTCCCCCCCCCCCCCACCCCCCATCTAGTATATAAAAAGACCCCACACCCCCTTGAGAAATGACAACCCCCACTCCCCCATTAAGTATATGGCAAGACACCCACACCCTCTCTGAGTATATAGCAAAACCCCCACACACACACAACAAAATGTGATTAAAAAGAGAAGAACTACAGATTCCACAAAAGAGAAACAGAAAGTATGGAGATATATTTTGGTCAGAATGTGTTATTAATCTATATATAAATGTGCATTATTATATTAATTAGATCTGAGACAGTAGATGTACAAATTGCTCATGAAAAACAAAAATGTCCTTAATGTTCTGTTTAATAAAGTTTTCAAACATTTTATTCATTATTAAACTAAAATAATTTTACATTCAGTAGTCTGCCATCCCTTTCTCAGTGGTCTTCTTTCGATACCACTGTCGGAACCAACTAAAATCAGTCATCTGCCAAATCTGCTGCTTAGAGACAGGCACATTTTTTACAACACTGCAGTAAAACCATAATGCTTGTTTTCATTATTTAAATGTGTTTGTTTGTTATGTGGTCAATACTGAGTATAAACTGGCTACAGCAGCAGAAAACAGGTGAACAAACTAGTTTCAAGGACACTTACTAAATGATCTTGGCCAGGTAAAGGAAGCCACTCCATGTCTCTTGTGTACACTGAAAATACAAGGGAGAGTCATTTGTCAGAATATTCACTGATTTTAAAATATCTTTTCTTCTTCTTCACATTCACCGGCTGAAAACTCTGGCTTAAACTACAGAGAACCGTGTAAGTAAAAAAGCAATGCAGGTCATTTTATAATATTTAGGCAGTGTTAACATAACTGCCTAAACAGTGTGGGTTAATTCCATGCACTAGAAGGAAGACACAGAAATATGTGAAAAACTATTGAGTGAAAATAATAACTGGACTTTGATCTTAACCAAGAACTTGAATTTTGTGTGCACATCTGTTTTACAGATCTGGCTTATTTGTATGCAGATTGTTTGCTTCTTGCTCTCAAACAGATGCACTACGGCTTTGAGGAAAGACCCCTAATTAGTTGCCTCTTCTGACATTTGTTATCATGATCGGCAGACACAAATTTGTCAACAGTAGATAAATGTTTGACCCAGGCATGTTTTGAGTGTTGCTTCACATTATTATCCTAGCTTCCAATTTAAATTGTTTGCAGCTCTGGTTTCACTGTGCTGCATGGAGGAAGTCACTCAACTGAGCCAACCATCAGCAAATACCAGACACAGGCTTCCATCCTTCTTTGTGGTGCCCCATCAGCACACACTGACTGACCACGTCTCTTGATAATTATGTAGCATAGCCGTAAAGAGGCATCAGCCAAACAAAGTTTAAGAACCACTGACATAAACTATAAACCCATGTTTGCAATGTTTAAAATTACACAAGCTGCTATCTGATGTCTTAAATTATAAGCCCCCCCCCCCCCCCATTTTTTTCCAGCGATTATGTCTAAATTATGAACCCACCTCTGTGGTGTCTAAAATTATAAACCATCCCTTGGTTAATTCTAAAATTATAAACCCACCTTTGTGATGTTTATATAAAACATCAGGGTCTGTGGCATCAGTGGCGATGTTATTTCTGGTACATTTCACCTTCAGCTTGAACTGGAGCGTGTCCTCACTGGAATGGTCTGTTGAATCTGGTCACGACGACACACAAAAATTATACCTAGACACACCTCAGACAAGACAACAGACACCATCCTCATCTTCATGGGTCTTGGGGAATGGCACTGACAATCATTCCTTGCCACAACCTGTGAACTCCAACAGTTCACATGCTGACACTCTTCCACGTCATGCCACTATAGGAGGTGCCCCATAAGTTTTCCCACTTCAACGACATAACTTTAGCTGTGCTTATATGTGTTCTTTAGCAATGAAGGAATTGAAATGTTTAAAAAAAAGTGATATTTTCTCTGGACGTAAATTTGCCTAGAAAAACCACACAACAGCCAGGGGCTGTTGGGGTTGGTTCTGCAACGTCCTGTAAAGGATACACAACTAACCTAAATGGAAACCTTACAACAAAAGGGGTTCTCAATCTTCCTAATGCAGCAACCCTTTAATACAGTTCCTCATATTGTGGCAACCCCCAACCCTACATTTATTTTCGTTGCTACTTCATAACTTCAAGGAATATGTGTTTTCCGATTGTCTCAGGCGACTTCTGTGAAAAGGTCGTACGTCGAAAAAAAGGGTCGCGACCAACAGGTTAAGAACCGTTGCCCCACAATGTACACATCATAATTGCAACCGAATGCAGGTAATATACATTAATAACAAAAACCTGGCCGGCAGAGATTATGCACAGAAACAACAATCCTAATAATAAACACTGTATATTCCCATGAGGGTTCTTCGGCTCCATTTTGAAGGGAAAAAAGAATAGATTCACTGTTCCATACCCTTCCCTCTAAAAAGCAGGTTTAAGAGGTGACTAATTAGAATTAGAAGAAACAAACTAAATAAACGTGATGGCAACAATGGTCCTGAAATCGCATGCTCTAACTGTGGAAGACTTCTCTGAAAAAGCTGGCAGGTCTTGCTGGTGACATTCACCATGGGTTGTTGAGTCCCATGCCTCCTCATACAGCACACTACAATACCATCTTCTAAAATAAAGGAAAGGTGCCAACAAGTTCTCCCATATAGGCCTACACTGCCTTTTAATAAGCTGATTCCACTTCTGGCTGGGTTCTCTAATCTACTTATAACCAATCGAACTGAGTGCTTCTGCTATGAACTTACCCTTCTGCTTATATTCAAACAGGCGAGGGTCAGCCTTGATGGGAATCAGACCAAGTCGGTGAGCCAAAACCTCATCTTGTATAATGGATGTATTGTTCCAAATATGAACCGATTCTATAGCCATTGTCGGCACCTGAAACACAAGAAACCAGGTGTTTAAAGCAGATGTTAACATAATAATTTAAAATTAATGCAGTGCGTGTGTGTGTGAGAGAGAGAGAGAGAGAGAGAGAGAGAGAGAGAGAATGAAAAAACACCAGGAGCTGAAGGATATTAATAATTGCAGGTAATGTTCTTGTACATAGGCAGGGAAACGATAGGCAACAGACAGCCCAAGAACTACAGGCAACTGCAGACAACGTAACTGACTGGTGGTGAGCAAACAGAGGTTAGTTAGTTGGGTTATCATCATCGTACTCCTGATATGTCTATAGGTGCCCAGATCCTCCCCTCAGTATGAAGCCTAACAGTACCAGTTCAATGTTGATTAACAAGACCTCTGATGTACCTGTTGTGCGTCTAGTTTTGTTGCTATGCTGACCTCAACTCCCAAGTCTATCATTCCGGTGAGCGATGTGGATCCACTGACCGCCAAAGTCCTCTACCCTCCCGCTTCTTGAAGGGCATTATTAATAGCATGATCCTTAGGTGGCAATTGCAGATCCAGCCAACCTATCAGCTCTTTCATTTCCACTGACGCCTACATATAAAGGAATGAAAATAAAGGTGACTTTACACACAGTGGACTTGAATGATTTGAGCCACTGTCTTTGCCCTGATCCAGCCTGATAATAATCATTGAATCACTTGGGTGTAATTTTGTGTTTCGAGCCAAGCAAACGCTTGCGTTACTGTCAACACCTTCATCATCATGCTGCTGGTTATCATAGAGAAGGCTGAGCAGGCTGTGAATGCCCATGTGCTGCTTTGTTGGCGTATAACAGATCTGTCTATGTAGATCAATACATCTGTCTTGTCTGAATTTTCCCTTATTAGAAATGGGTGCTGTCATAAACTCAGAAAAGGTGAGTTTTAGAGTGCTCTCTGGACGATAGACTTGTAAGAATTGATGTTCCTAGTCTCACAATCAATGATAGAAACATCAGAAGAGAGAGCAAACTGAGGTAGAAGGACTAAATGCAATTAAGGTTATGACAGTAACAGACAAGGAACCAAGAATGTTGTTTACAATGGTCCAGAATAGATTATATCAAAGTATCCGCTGATGAAATGTGAAGGCATGAAGAATGAAGCCTTGAGGATAATTCTGGGATATACAAGAGATTCCCTGGTAGAATGAATGTGATATATACATGGCAATGCAGACTAATACAGATAAGCTCAAAGTGCTGCAAGCAAAGTCATATCACAGAGTAACTGCAGATAAGAAACACCTCCTGCATGAAAACCTAGACAAAGCTGAGGGTCACAGACTGAAAAGAGGGAGGCCTTGGACGACTCAAGCTGAAGACACACTTAAACATTGTGCAGGCTCGATAACATTGGGCGAGGAGAGGAGTGGGTCAGAAGTCCCAGCAAAAGTCAGACTTGTGTAGGGTTCTGATCGCACCGGGCCATGAGTGCAGGGACTGGCCAGTTTGCTCTACAGAATAAGAAGTTTAACAATTGATTCATGAAAATTCGTGCCCAGGTGGTGTGATAATCTACACAGATGGCTTTGTGTTGAGAGGCATATGAAGATCATGGGGGTTCTTAGCAAAAGTGAACGGACATCGCTTAGTGCAATAAAGCCCGGACATATGACACAACATCTAGTTCGAGAATATAGGTAGAGGCAGTAACCTCAGCCTTTCGTTGGCTTGAGAATCAGCTGCACACAAATGTCGTAACTGTAACAGAGCATGTTGAGAAAGTTGGAGATATGTATGCAGCCTGAAGAGTGGCAAGCACTGCCTCAGAGATCTCGGGTAGGTAGCACCTTTGGCTATTTCCCCCAGGATGCCGGTGTATTAGGAAATGAATATGCAGATAGACAGGCTGGTTCTGCACAACTTGGTGGTGAACTGATACATAACAAGCTAGATGTTGTAAGGACTCTATGGGGGCGAGTGAACAGTGTGGAAGCACAGATGGATCATCATGGTCTGAAAAGAATAGTACTGCGAGGAGTGACCAGAAGATCTGGTCCATGATCGGCACTCAAGGGAAAGGTGAGACGGACATACAATCAGACTGCTACTACTGGAATTGGAAATCTGCTCACTGCTGAAGATGGGGATTGAGTCTTTATGGGAATGTCCCGAGTACTGTGATGTTGATTCTCAAATGATCACACATCATCCTGTCCCATTACATGCTCAGAAATGTATATTATAAAGAGATCTGTTCACCACATTACAAATCTGTAGCCTGGAATGTGCTAAATTCCAACATTTCACGTGCTAGTTGTGGCTACGCTATGGGACTACCTTAGCCAATTTTAGCAGTAAACATAATATGAAAGTTGAACATATATACAAAGTTTACTAAATGTTATGACATACATAAATATAAACATACGTATGCATACATGTATGTATATATATCATATATCCGAACACATATAGAGAAGAGCGGGAGGGGAACAAAAGAACAGAACAAACTTTATTTTTAAAGGGTCAAGAACTGAGCACACAGGTCCTTCTAACATCCTGCCCTTCTAGCCTCCTTTCTTCCATACAGGGAAGGAAGAGGACACACTAAGCTGGAAACTAATGTGGTGCAGTAAACTTAAAAACAAAATGTTACCTCTGCTAAGAGAATTCTCCGGACAGCATTGGCAATGGCTGCATCAATCCCGACCATATCAAACTCCATATCACAGCCAGACAAACTCACAATGTCAACCTGAAATGTCTACAATGCCAGACAAAACATCAATGTATATGACAAAGATATGCCTACACACTCAGTAAAAGTGACTAAAAGACATTCTTTCAACCATCAAACTCCAGAGCACGAGGCAATTAGCTTAACCATGACAAGGTTAAATTTATTCACTTCTGGTCGTGATTAAATTAAACTGATCATAAGTGCATTTGCGCCGTGTTTAAGAGGCCAGGATATGAATACAGTAACTAAAAACACCACTTTCATGCCATTGGGGAGGCAGGGGTGTTTCCTTATGACCCCAATCGTTTTTCAAAAGCTAGTTTTTTTTTTATGTCCTGGGGTGTGTATTCTAGTCACACGTGACTAATGATTTGTTTAACAATATATTTATATTCAAGATATTTTTTATGGGTATATATTACAGGGCAATCAATAAATATAAATGGAGGGAAGCATGAAATGGAATACATTTACAAGGGTAAAAATATATATATTGACTAACCCATGTCATGATGCTAAAACACAAAGGCCATGAGAAAATTAGGAAATCAACCTGGCTTTATAAAAGCCACCTTGTTCCATCCCCTGCCCCCCCCCCCTCGAATTATAAAAAATATATATATTTATATCAAGGCCTCCTAAACACTGCACAGGCGCAAACAGAATCTACAGCATCTATGTTTCTCGAAGAAAAGCCACTGGAATAAGCAGTGAAACGGCATTCACAGGAATAAGTCACAAACAGAATCTACAGCATCTATGTTTCTCGAAGAAAAGCCACTGGAATAAGCAGTGAAACGGCATTCACAGGAATAAGTCACAAACAGAATCTACAGCATATGTTTCTCAAAGAAAAGCCACCGGAATAAGCAGTGAAACGGCATTCACAGGAATAAGTCACAAACAGAATCTACAGCATCTATGTTTCTCAAAGAAAAGCCACTGGAATAAGCAGTGAAACGACATTCACAGGAATAAGTCACAAACAGAATCTACAGCATCTATGTTTCTCAAAGAAAAGCCACCGGAATAAGCAGCGAAACGACATTCACAGGAATAAGTCACAAACAGAATCTACAGCATCTATGTTTCTCGAAGAAAAGCCACTGGAATAAGCAGTGAAACGGCATTCACAGGAATAAGTCACAAACATAATTTACAGCATCTATGTTTCTCAAAGAAAAGCCACTGGAATAAGCAGTGAAACGGCATTCACAGGAATAAGTCACAAACATAATTTACAGCATCTATGTTTCTCAAAGAAAAGCCACTGGAATAAGCAGTGAAACGGCATTCACAGGAATAAGTCACAAACAGAATCTACAGCATCTATGTTTCTCGAAGAAAAGCCACTGGAATAAGCAGTGAAACGGCATTCACAGGAATAAGTCACAAACAGAATCTACAGCATATGTTTCTCAAAGAAAAGCCACCGGAATAAGCAGTGAAACGGCATTCACAGGAATAAGTCACAAACAGAATCTACAGCATCTATGTTTCTCAAAGAAAAGCCACTGGAATAAGCAGTGAAACGACATTCACAGGAATAAGTCACAAACAGAATCTACAGCATCTATGTTCCTCGAAGAAAAGCCACTGGAATAAGCAGTGAAACGGCATTCACAGGAATAAGTCACAAACAGAATCTACAGCATCCATGTTTCTCAAAGAAAAGCCACTGGAATAAGCAGTGAAACGACATTCACAGGAATAAGTCACAAACAGAATCTACAGCATCTATGTTTCTCGAAGAAAAGCCACTGGAATAAGCAGTGAAACGACATTCACAGGAATAAGTCACAAACAGAATCTACAGCATCTATGTTTCTCGAAGAAAAGCCACCGGAATAAGCAATGAAACGGCATTCACAGGAATAAGTCACAAACAGAATCTACAGCATCTATGTTTCTCAAAGAAAAGCCACCGGAATAAGCAGTGAAACGGCATTCACAGGAATAAGTCACAAACAGAATCTACAGCATCTATGTTTCTCGAAGAAAAGCCACCGGAATAAGCAGTGAAACAACATTCACAGGAATAAGTCACAAACAGAATCTACAGCATCTATGTTTCTCGAAGAAAAGCCACTGGAATAAGCAGTGAAACAGCATTCACAGGAATAAGTCACAAACAGAATCTACAGCATCTATGTTTCTCGAAGAAAAGCCACTGGAATAAGCAGTGAAACGACATTCACAGGAATAAGTCACAAATAGAAATGCCCGGTTTTGGGCGACAGGATTGAGATTCTAGCTTGGATCCAGTCTTATTAAAGAGGCAAAAAACATCTCTTCTGGTAAGGGAATGATGAAGGAGACCTGTCATGTCATCCTAACCCACTGTACACTGACCTAGCAGAAATTTTCTACTACTAAGTAATATCATCATCATGTAGCATGTCCTTTGCAGATTGTTGCTCTCATCACAGTCTGCCTGAATGAAACTTAGTCTCTCGCTAGTTCTCCCCCCCCCCCCTCCTCATGTACTTTCATACTCAAGGAGTCACTTATATCCTGTGCCCATCTTCGTGTCGGTCGGCCCCTGCCCATCCTTCCTGGTACCATGCCTTCTGCTATAATTCCGATCTGTCGTGACATTGATTTGACCAATATTTCAGCTTCAGAGAAAGGATGCTGTTTATTAGCAAAACTTCCTTGATGTTCAGATCTTTTAAGATGACAATATTTCTCCTCTTCTTTGTCCAAGATATTTTGAGAATCTTTCTATAGCATTTCAGCTCAAAAGCCCCTATTCTCTTTCTTAAGGACTGATTAAGTCATATATCCCAACTAATTATACCTATTTAAGAGGTCAAAAAAAAAACATGATATGACCTACTTTGAGAAAAGCTGAGAACAGTATAACTAGAATGTGTTTACACTGGAATCCACAGGATCATAGAAATAAAGGGACAGACTAAAAACAATGGAGAAGTAAAGCAGAGAGTGAAAAAAAGATGGAGAGGAAGACTTTCACAGGGTTAAGAATTTTTGTAAAAATTCATCTTAATTCTCCCTTTTTGGTCTCACCCCTAGATACCTCCTTCTATTTATACATCAATTAACAGACCAAAAAAATTGTAGCAATAAATAATGATAAAAATTAAAAACCTTAAATTTTATCAATTAAAACTGAATTTTGGTACAGTCGCTAGAATTAGTTCTTATTATATCTACATTTCTAAACAATATAAATACTAAGTACAGAATGTGCAAAAAGATTTGTTTTTTTAAATATAAAATTTTGTTCAAGGACATGTACACAACAGCAAAACATTGAAAGACCTGGTGTGAGTTAGTTAAGGACCAATGCTCCACTTGGGGGAAACAGCAGAAGTTATATATTACTGGTTGTGGGACTACCACCATAATAATTGCATAATCTTTTAAATGAATAGAATTTTACCTCCTCAAATCTTTCATGGCTCCAGGCATCGTCATATCCCTCATATGTACCTGGGAAATCTGTACTAGTCACCTGTAATTATGATAGGACTGGCATTGTGCATTATATTCCTAAATCTTTGTTGCATCTAAGGGTTCATAATTAGCTTCAAATTCATACACCTGCTACCATAATATTCTTACTCAGGATATACAATCAGACAGCTTCTGTTACTATCGGAATGGAGCTCTGTGCTAGCTGCTTGTAGCAGTACTTATTATAGAAATGTTCCATGTGTTATTAAGGTTTTTAATACAAAGTCAATTTTCATACTGATCACTTGGAGGTTTTGTTACCATCTGTTTATCTCAACAATATTTTTGGCAGAATACTTAATTACTTTTGCTTGTCTACTGGCAAGACATCGACCTGGCTGCTTCGAGATTCTAAGACAGGTGATACTGTGGTATTGTTTGATTTATGTATGTGCTGATGAGGGTTCCATAGCCACAAAGTTATTGTTTTGTTTGTTATATTGTGAAGCTTGGTCATATACTTTTCGTTTTGTTTTATATCTTTTATTTTAAAGGTGCAGGTCCCGGGACTCTGCTATACACCCATCTCTATCAGCTACTAACTCAAAAACCGGTTTTAGAAATAGATGAAATACCCAAATAGTTAAAGAGGACATGCATCATATTGACAGAAAAGCAAACTGGCCAATCAATACTTCATTTCTGATGGCCCTAAGATAAAGTAAAGATAAACACTTGTGGCATGCAGAAATGTTTCTGATGGTATGCACGGTAGCACCTTTTACGAGGCATCATTGTTGTCAGCTCTACTGTAATAGACACTCCGTAGTGAGCATGAGGCATCATTGTTATCAGCAGAACTGTAATAGACACTCCGTAGTGAGCACGAGGCATCATTGTTGTCAGCTCTACTGTAATAGACACTCTGTAGTGAGCACGAGGCATCATTGTTATCAGCACAACTGTAATAGACACTCCATGGTGAGCATGAGGCATCACTGTTGTCAGCACTACTGTAATAGACACTCTGTGGTGAGCTTCAGCACTTTTATTTCTTACAGAATGAGAGAAAAGCCCTGGCAGCATGACTCGTGATAACAGATTTGTCAGATATCCTAGATGAGGGCTATTTAACTGACAGCCCGTGGACCAAATTTTGCCCTGCCAGGCCTAGCTTGTTTTATTATTAATGCAATGACTATGTTCATCGTCTTTCTGGCTCTAGTCACTGCACGCTCCCATTCATGCGCTGACCGACAACACATGAGAAAAACATGGACGATGGCGAACGATACAAAGTTATGTTGCTCTTTATTTGTTCACTCGCAGTTTCTTCAAACAGTACATGTTAGGGTACAACACAGTCGCTAATATCTATCCTAACTCACTGACAGTATCAACTATACCTTACAATAAGCGTTCCATCACCACAGCAAGTGAAAGATAACTTTTTCCCAACCGAACAAAAGCAATACAATCAGCTGGCTGCAGGACTTCCGTCAGCCATTGCTGTTTGGTCAGGTAGGCGTTGGGAAAACTGCAAACATATCAGATTCAAACACTTTCTGGATCCGACAGATGCTCCTCCATACTTCATGTATTCATTTCCTAGGCCTAAACAAGACTGCCCACATGCTCTTTCTGAGGCACTATATAACCTTCTAACTCCCCATTACAATTACAACTTCTCCGTGTTCTCAGATTCACACGGGTTCCATTCAGCCATCATTTCCTCTGTGTTTCATTTAGCCATCATTTCCTCTGTGTTTCATTTGGCCATCATTTCCTCTGTATTTTATTTGGCCAGCATTTCCTCTGTAGTTCGCATGATTTTCAATTGGCCAGTATTTTCTGTGATTTACGACTCTGCCCTTCTTACATGTAAATATTCATATTTATTAGCTAACGTCATTCCGTCTGGGACATAATTTATCGAGAAGAAAATAGGTTCACTTCAATTAATGACTTTTTTATGTTGGGGCTCGAGCTTCTGACCTGAGACGACTCCCATTTTGGCCCCTGAGTAAACTTAGTTCAATAGTTAATTCTATGTGGTATTTTCATCTAGCCACCAGGTGGAAAGACAGAAGATACCATATGTAAAACCCAGTGCTAATGGTGACCTTCCCACGTTTAAATGTTACACTTAGGGACACAGCAAATTGTACCGTTATGATTTTGATTCCTTTATAATCAACATCAGCGCAGTTCTGTAATCTAGGGTTTAGTTAACAGGCGAAAATTTTTGTATCAAGGAAAGATAAAAACCCGAACGAAAAGTATATCAATGAGCTTCACAAAATAACAAACACGAACAAAACTTTGCGGCTATGAAGCGTTCATCAGTATATACACAAAATAGACCTTACTACACAAAATCACATAACAAATTGTATGAGCCTCACCTACTTTTAGTTGCTTATCATTTACAGGATTTTGCAGAACCAACCCCAGCATTTTTAGCTGTTGTGGTTTTTTTAGGCAAATTTTATTTTCAGCAGTTTGCCATTGATTCCTGAACAATTAATTAGATCTCGGTACTACTGACAAAACAATGCAAGCTCAAGGCGTTCTGCTGCCAAATCCCACGCAGCTGGGATCGAACTCAGCATTACAAAGTGCGTTTACAATGCCTATGCTAGACGCTGAGCATCTATTATATTTATTACATATTTACTAACTACAAGGGTTTGATTTACGATACATTGTTTATTTTATAAATTTATTTAGTAAAAACTCTGGTCTCATGGATTTCATACAGTGGTACGAGAGTCTCACTGAGGCCTCATCATGCAAAAAATATAATACAGTAAATATATTTGCAAAGACAGCAGCTAGTAGTCACACATTTACTGTAGCACTGTACTGTACAGTAGATTGCAGAGCAGGGCTCTCCTTCGGACTTCAACCCCCGCATTATGGCGGCCTGAAATATCCATTCGGGGCTCAGCCCAATGAAAAATATGCGCACTTCCGAAGACGAACGAATCGCGGCAAAACTAGGATCGGCTCCGTATAGCGAAACAAATGCTCTAAAAGGGTCCCAGCCATATGTTAATTGCAGACCTGTTTCTTATTGTTTCTGATTGCCTGACAATTTTAAGAGACGCAACACTACAGACGATAATAGCGACCGTTGACACTTTCCATTGTCAGACTTTTTGCTGACGAACAAATATGTAACATGCGGACTTGTCAGACTTTGTGCTGACGAACAAATCGCGGCAAATCTGGGATCGGCTCGGAAAAATGACACAAATGCTCTGACTGTGTCTCAGCGATATGTTAATTGCGGACCTGTTTCTGTGACTATGCCTCGCCGCCGACCGTATCCCCCGCGCCGCTACGCGCGGATGGGGGGGGGGGGGCGGTTAAACTAGATGGCTGGGACTCACGAGCAGCAGCTACCGCATCTCCTGCAACTTCCTCCAGTTTTATTTGCTCGTGAGTCCCAGGTATCTAGTTTAAACTCCCATCCGCGCCAAAAAGTGTGAGGACAACAACGCCACGAGTATCTGTCAGAGGCAACCTGCCGCGCTGTCAATGACATAGCATAGCACCCTGGGAGAACATATCTGCGCGAGTTGCGTATTAGCCTGTGGGTAGCTAGCCATTGCAACCAGACCAGTTTATCAGTCATTACTCGATACAACTCGACAGGTCTCACATCTACTTCTACCGCTGCTAAATCCTCAATCGGAAGAACAGTATCGCTAATCTGCATCGCAGCGTGCCGTAACCCCACCATGTCGACCATATGCACTGTTGACGGCCGCTATTATCGTTTGCTACTGTCGTCTGCGGTGTTGCGTCTCGTGACATTGTCAGGTACGCCTAGTTTTGCCGCAATTTGTTCCGCGGTGGGAACTCCGATAGGTCCCATTTTTCATTGGACTAAGCCCCGAATGGATATTTCAGGCCATCATAATGCGGGGGTTGAAGTTCGGAGGAGAGCCCAGAGCAGGGATATTCAACTGGCGGCCCGCTGATGACCTCCTAATGTGGCCCACTGAATCCTACCGAGTGACTAGGGGATCACTGCTAGTTGTATTGTATTAATAATCATTCTATGCTGTTTGAGCGTCTGGCCCATGACCATCCCAATTTCCAAAATGTTGGCCCCTGAGTTGAGTAAAAACTCTGAAACTTTGAGAGCCAGCCTTCATCAAGTTCATTTGTGTTGTGGAGCCGCCGGCTTTGCTTAGACGACTATTTTGTTTAATTATTTATCTATCCCTCATCCAAACATTTACAATACAGTATTATTAACAGTATAATACATTTTATTGCAAACCGTAAAAAGATTACTTCATTACTACTAGGGTCTAGTCTAGAGTCCCAAAAAAAAAGAGACCTCACCAACCCAAGCTTGCGGTAAAAAAAAAAAAGCAAAGGGAAGACATCAAATGCTCATGGATTGATACAATTACATGTATAACTTACATTATGAACAGTGTGTTCTGTTAAACGAACTTTCCTTCTTATATCTTCGATTAAATCCATCTGCACACCCTCAACCACTCTTGTATATTCTCAAACAAAAGTTCTGACTCCAAACGTGGTCGTCCACAACCGCCGTCCACTTCTGTAAGTTCAGAACTGTTAGAATAACTTCCCTTTGTTATTGCTTTCCATGTTTTTCCAAATGACATTTTTTTAAATGCATTAGATTTTGACTATTTTTATTAAAGACAAAAATTCAAGTAAGGTTTAAGCAATTAAAATAAATATCTAAACTTGCTAATCTGATTTTTAATTTTTAAAACTTGACAAATTGTTTTTAATCTAATCCAGCGTTTCCAAGTCCCGGAAGTAGCGCATTAGTATGAGTGGGAGGAGTTGTGTGTGAGAGAGATTTGAGCAGGGCGGTGTTCTAGACGGATTTATATCATACAGGGCAACTTTTAGTTTGTACCGGTGAAGTCATCAGTTAAACAATGGTAAGAATTGGTTTGTGATGCAACATATGTTTGTACTGTTGTGTTATTTGCTAAGTAAAAAAAAAAACAATTTTAAGATTCTTATATTCCGACATTGGGGTTGGGTTGAGTTTACAGTCAAATTCCCTCTGCCTCTTCTACACCACACCAATAAACCAGTTAGATAGCTGTAAACAATCTCTTTCCAATGGTACCTCATTTAAGCTTGTATGTCATTTATGAGCTGAGATATGTAGGTTTTTGCGGAGATAAGATGTAAAAAACAGCTGTTGCCGCCATCATACAAGTTCATACAATCCCAAAAAATTACCCAATATCTAGACATTCTCATTAAGTGATAAGTGCTCCATCCCTATCTTCCTCATTCAGCGAAACATCTAACGACGATGGTTCTAATAGAATTTTGATTGTTTGTCTGTCTTGCCTTTTATCTGAGTTAGTTGGGAAATGATCATTGCTCTCGGACAGACCCTTTCAATACATATGATGAGCCCCAGCGACCTGTAATTATGTAATACTATAGTAGCAGTTCTTTGTTGATTCAGTCTCTTTGTAGGCCCAGTGTATCTCTCGCTTTTGGATGTTCCGATCTTTAATGATTCTGGTGGGCAAGTCACCCTTCCCAGTTCTCTAAGGGCATTAATACTGAGGCCCTGTTAGGGTATATTTTCGGCCTCGATAATTTGGGACCGTTATTCCAAAGATAGCCTAATATCAGCATGATCCATAGGTAGGCCTTCAGTAGGGATAGTAGCGGATCCAGCCAACTTATCAGGTCTCACATTTTCATCAACCCCTATGTGCCCTGGAACCAAGATAAAGATGACTGTACGCACAGTGGACTTCTGTAATGGCTCAATCCACTGCTTTTATCCGAGTGTGGAATGTCGGCCAAATCCTGCTCCCTCCCCATTGCAGCTTTGACATTATCTTTTTCTTCAGACGTCAGTAATGTCCAGTAGTAATGCTCTAATTGTGCTTGTGTTACCACTAATACATCTGTTTTTTCTATTTATCAGATTCGATTCATCTTAATTCAGAACCGAGCTGGAAAAACAAGACTTGCCAAGTGGTATATGCATTTTGATGATGATGAAAAACAAAAACTTATTGAGGAGGTCCATGCAGTCGTTACAGTTAGAGACACAAAGCACACAAACTTTGTGGAGGTAATAACCATATGATGATATTTTTCTAAAAATTTTAAGAAATTTTATACTTAACTGAGTACAAAGTAGCCAGAGAGCCAAACATATTGTTGGCACCTTTCAGTCTTTACAGTTGATAGTATTATTTTGTGCTGTTGAGAGACCTGGTAGTAATCACGACCCATAGTGATGGTTAGGGACTAGCAAGACCTGTTCACATTTAAGAAAAATCATCCACGAATAGAACATGCGATTTCAGGATTATCATTGCAATCATATGTATTGGCAAAGATCAGTTTCGTATTCTTGTCAGGGCACACAGCCATGCAAGGGAATGAGCAAGCTGATAGGGTGGAGGAGTTATAACCAGGCTGATTTAATGAATGTTCTGTAGAAGTAAGATGTTTGCCAGAACCAAGTGATAACTGAATCTGCAACCATGTTCAGACTGCAAGAACGACATGTTAAAAGGGGTGTGGCCAGACAAGAGCATTATGCAGAAAGCCAAAGAAGAATAAGAAACAACACAGAACTGGTGTACTCAGCGCCACTACATAGGGTTTACTGAACAGGGGATCTGAGCACTTATGGGCTGAATGGTTTGAGGATAATCTGTTGACTGACTATATTACTGGGGTGATGTAATAATTTTCCCTCTTTCTGGCTCTGGTTAAGTTGTTAAACAGTTTGCCTTGCAGTCTGAAGGTTGTGAGTTTGGTACCAGATTCCATAGATTTTTGGTCACTAGTGTTTTATACATCCATGAAGATTGTCACTAGAACTGTGGTTTTCATGCTGTGTAGTACACTCTTTCACAGGGGAACGCCCACTCTGCAGGATTAGACAAAAACCAAATGAAGTAAAATCACTGTGCTTTATTAATATTCTTCCCCAAACGGGAAATCTACAGGTCATGGGACAGTCTAATATTTCAGGGGGTGATAGATAGGCTGCAGGCAGTTGTGGGACCTAGGCTGCACTCTCTTTGGGGTTAGGGCCAGTTCTAGATGTTTTAAAAGCTGGGAAACCCAGTCTTGTCACCTTCTAAAATGTTGGACTGTCCCATGGTATTAATAAAGCACCAAAATCACTCCTTGCCTTTAAATACCTGTCAACTGTAGTGACTTTTTCAGAGAAAACTCATAATTGCTGTATAAGGCTAGGTCAGACTAAAAAACGTAGAGAGAAAAAATTCTCCACTTTCTTTAGAAAGATACTTTTGTATCTCTGTCCCCAGTTATGGCAGCATCATTGTATGTTATAAAGAGCATTGTTTGAAAGCATGGTTACTAGAAGATGATGTAGGGGCTAACCACAATGACAATTGACCTAGATCATTAAAGACATCCTGTAACTGCATGAAACATGGAGCCCAGCAAAGGATCAGTCAGTAATCGAGGTTTCAACTTCATTGCAAAAGGGGTCACCCCATAAATGTCCCATTCCTGTGCTGGTGGAAATCACACAAAAATTCACTGCCTGAAGAGCCAGAATTAACAGTCACTACCAGAGGAGCTAGAACCAACAGTCACCACCTGAGGAGCCAGAACTAACAGTCACCACCAGAGGAGCTAGAACTAACAGTCACCACCAGAGGAGCCAGAACTAACGGTCACCACCAGAGGAGCTAGAACTAACAGTCACCACCAGAGGAGCCAGAACTAACGGTCACCACCAGAGGAGCCAGAACTAACAGTCACCACCAGAGGAGCCAGAACTAACGGTCACCACCAGAGGAGCCAGAACTAACGGTCACCACCAGAGGAGCCAGAACTAACAGTCACCACCAGAGGAGCCAGAACTAACGGTCACCACCAGAGGAGCCAGAACTAACAGTCACCACCAGAGGAGCCAGAACTAACAGTCACCACCAGAGGAGCTAGAACTAACGGTCACCACCAGAGGAGCTAGAACTAACGGTCACCACCAGAGGAGCCAGAACTAACAGTCACCACCAGAGGAGCCAGAACTAACAGTCACCACCAGAATCGCAATTTGTCATTGATGGAAGTGGTCAGTCTTTGATAAACTGGTCGTTTGATGTGATTAGGTGAGGGATACCTGTGAAACATGGAAGAAATGGTATAATGGACCCAAGGGGCATTTGAGGCTGTGAGGAGAGATGATCTCACCATCAGAGTATATTGGGAGTATAAATATGATAATAATGTATAGGGGAATATGTGGAAGGGCTATTACAGCAAAAATAGGGGATCTTGTATTGCCACAGGATATCATTTTGCCATTAAAGTAGTCCCCTCTCACAGCACTGTATAGCATCAATATTTGATCCACACACAAGCACAACACTAACACTGTCCAGCCTCACACAAGACCTGATCAGCCATAACCTCCAGCCTCACACAAGACTTGATCAGTCACTTCCTCCGGCCTCACACAAGACCTGATTAGCCAGCTCCTCCAGCCTCACACAAGACCTGATCAGCCACTTCCTCCGGCCTCACACGAGACCTGATCAGCCACTTCCTCCAGCCTCACACAAGACCTGATCAGCCACTTCCTCTGGCCTCACACAAGACCTGATCAGCCACTTCCACTGGCCTCACACAAGACCTGATCAGCCACTTCCTCCAGCCTCACACAAGACCTGATCAACCACTTCCTCCGGCCTCACACAAGACCTGATCAGCACTGAGCACTTATGGGAGTGTCCCCAGTGCTGTGATGACAATTCTAAATTCAAGATTCAACATATTTTGCTGTTTTTTGTGTGTGTGTTATTGTTAGCATTTCATTTAAAATAGTAAGAATAATTTACATTCACTTTTCATATGTATTATAATCGCTGAACTATCCTTTCTTTAATCAGTTTCGTAACTTCAAGATAGTTTATCGTCGTTACGCTGGACTGTACTTCTGCATCTGTGTGGATGTTAGTGATAACAACCTGGTCTACTTGGAGGCCATTCACAATTTCGTGGAAGTGCTGAACGAGTTTTTCCACAATGTTTGTGAACTGGATCTAGTCTTCAATTTTTACAAGGTTTGTAATATGACTGTAAACAAATACAAAAAAAAAATTGTATTTATTTTTTTTAAGTATGTTATCTTGGACTAGGTAAACAGCAGGAGTCGTTGTGGCTTGGTGGCTAGATGCCTGCCTGCGGGTCGCAAGGTCGTGGGTTCACATCCTGACAGAGCCGGACTTTTTTCAAAAATGACCTTGACTCCAAGGTTGACCCAGTCTTGAAAATGTACCAGTTGCAGTCCCGGGAAGTAAAGCGGCTGGCGTGATGCTGACCACATCACTTACCAAGTGCCTATTGTTCTATAAAAATATAGGTCTAGCCCAATACGCTAAAGGCGGGGAAAAGAGACCTTTTTTCAACTAAGTTAAGCAGTAGTCATTCTGAAATGTACTACTTATTCTTCTTTCATTCTCACTGCCAGTGGTTTTTAGATAAGAAGGCATCAATGAAGGTTGTGATGTGATGCATTTCCTTCACTGTTCTATACAGCTTGGTTTCCATTGGAATGCCAACCAGCCAAATCCTTGATCTCTTTGGTTGCTGTATTCAAGAAGACACTAGAAGCCTCTTTTGACAGTGGTAAAACATCACAAGCTAAGTTTGATTCAGGCACATGGTGAGACATGATTCGATTTGCAACATTAGTGGGTGGTCGAAGAAGAACATGAAATTACAATATCAAGTAATGGACAAGGTTTATAAACTTGTGCAATAAGCAGAAGACAGAAATTTGGCGGGTTTTTATATGTTGGTGCTTCCATCGTTAGAACTCCGGAACCCCGACAGGTCAAAGATTATGTTGTGTTATATGTACACATCTTTCAAGGCGAGGCGGGCGGAATTTCAATCACAGGACTAAACTCTTTCAGTGCCAGGTAGTTGTGAATTCAACAAGTTCAACATTTATTTTTTTTTAAATTATTTTGGAATTTAAAAAGAATGTATCCACTGCCCCTGTAACATTTATGTCATGAGTACAGGAAAGGACCGCTGGCATGTCACGTATTATGCTAGACTCATATTCTTTTTAGACCAATCGGCACTCAGTTGGTGATGTAGTCAGTATCACACTGGCCACCTTTACTTGCCTGATACCTATGTCATAAAAGGTGAATAATTAGAGGTTTTCCTTTGAAGTCAGAGTGCATCACCCTGAGAGGTGAGGAACAAACAGTCAGCATACAAGTAACCAGATCTGTAAAACAGATGTGTACACAAAACTCATGTTCTCAGATGAAAGCTGAAGTCCAGAAGTGGATGAACAACCAAAATTTATGTCGGAGTTTACAGCCAATAAATGTTGAAAAGAAGAAAACACAGAATCTGCCAGAGGCCTTACAAGCAGCCAACTTATGATATTGTATTTTCATCTTCAGGTGTACAGCGTTGTGGATGAGATGTTTTTGGCTGGAGAGATCCGAGAAACAAGCCAGACTAAAGTACTCAAACAGCTTCTCATGCTTTCTTCTCTAGAATGATCTGAAGCTGGTCCAAAGTCCCACAATCGCTGCTCTGTTATTTTTGTGATGTCCAGACACATTTTGTAGGAGTATGGGAATATTGATCCCCATTGAACACATTCAACTTGCTGGTGTGATTTGTCTTGTATTTAAACAACAGTATTCTGTTTTCTGTCACTTTTTAAAATTAACCATCCTTTCTTATTTGTGTAAATTATAAACTAGCAAAGGGCCCTTTGTCAGGCCAGAGGGGCATATGGTGCTAGGCTTTAAGAATAGTCTTTCTTTCCATGAGCAAAAGAATACGCTGAGATATAGCAAACTTGTAGAGGCTGTTTAAAATATTAATGAATGAGTTAACAAGTGTGTCTGTCGCCATTTGTAATAATAGGTTTTTTTTTAATCAGTGATTGTCTACAGAACTAGTACATTCCAGTAATGAGTCATATATTCTTCATGCACCATATGGGTTCTTTTTTAAGCCTCATGCACATTCAAAACTGGCTCGTTGGGACAAGATAATAACATGTGCCATCTGGCACAATGTTCCAGGTTTAAGTTTTGTGATTTGCATGTATTTATTCTTATTGAGGCCAGATATTTTTAGAAATAGAATTTACTATTTTGTACAAAATAATTTTACATTAGAATTTCAAGTTTTCTTTCAAGTTAAACCATTGTGAATTCATAATCATACCCTAATCAATATTAACGAACAGCGTCTATCTTTTGTTGCTGCCTTTTTTCTTTCATGCCCATGTTTGTTATAGTCATATACCAAACTTAGCAGTTGTCATCATGTTGCTCTGAATTTAAGCAGTTTCTACAATCTGTTTTCCCTTTGTCAGCAGTGGTTGATACTTTTGCTGTTAACTATTGCTGCTAAGTTTATTGCTACTGCTAGATATTTCATAATTATTTCACTGTTGTCTAATTAGCTAGTTTTTTTTTTTTTTTTTTTTTTTTTTTTAGTGCTGTGTTATGTTAAAATAATTGTTGCGGAATGTTTGAAAAGTATAGAATGTCAACTGTGCTAAGGTCAGGTAGGATATAATGTATGAAAGTAATGTTTGTAAAATTACTTTCATAAGTTTTTTTTTATGGAGGATAGTATGTAGGATAGAATGTAGTGTGGTTAAGAATGTATTTTGCAGTGTACATTAGGATATATTGAATGAGAATGATGGGCTGTTGTAGAATGTCTGTTGTGGTGGGTGGTCATGTTCGAGATTAAAACTGTGAGGCAGTGATGAATCAAATGGGATAGGTTGGGTGCTTTATGATGATTTTTTTCGATTTAAGAATTAGCCGAATGTAACAGCTGACCAAGTTGCCTTGTAGATGTTAGAACTTAGATCTCTACAGGAAAAGTGACCGTTTGCAAAATGGAGAACATACCAATAAAAAGATATTATCTTCTTCACGGGCTGTAAATTCAGATGGAAAATCCTGGTTGGTTGTCCTCTTCTGCACTTTGGTCTCATTCCAGAACTTGAGTTTGGAATAGTAATGTGCAAAACTTTTAGTCCTTTAGCTCTCAGTTAGAGGCATTCCAACTCCGAAGGAAATGTCAATCCTATCTATGTCGACCAAGACTCCCTGTTGGGGACCTCTTTCATGGCCAGTATGACCTCCAGTCTTAGTGCACTGCTACCTGTGGTTCGTTGCCTCTGAATCCCTTGACCACTAGGACCTCCAGTCCTAGTGCACTGCTACCTGTGGTTCATTACCTCTGCATTCCTTGACTTGTATGACCTTTAGTCCTAGTGCACTGCTACCTATGGTTCGTTACCTCTGCATTCCTTGACTAGTAGGACCTCCAGTCCTAGTGCACTGCCACCTGTGGTTCGTTACCTCTGCATTCCTTGACTAGTAGGACCTCCAGTCCTAGTGCACTGCTACCTGTGGTTCGTTACCTCTGCATCCCTTGACTAGTAGGACCTCCAGTCCTAGTGCACTGCTACCTGTGGTTCATTACCTCTGCATTCCTTGACTTGTAGGGCCTCCAGTCCTAGTGCACTGCTACCTGTGGTTCATTACCTCTGCATTCCTTGACTAGTAGGGCCTCCAGTCCTAGTGCACTGCTACCTGTGGTTCATTACCTCTGCATTCCTTGACTAGTAGGGCCTCCAGTCCTAGTGCACTGCCACCTGTGGTTCATCACCTCTGCATCCCTTGACTAGTATGACCTTTAGTCCTAGTGCACTGCTACCTGTGGTTAGTCACCTCTGCATTTCTTGACTAGTATGACCTCCAGTCCTAGTGCACTGCTACCTGTGGTTCGTCACCTCTGCATCCCTTGACTAGTAGGACCTCCAGTCCTAGTGCACTGCTACCTGTGGTTCAGCACCTCTGCATCCCTTGACTAGTATGACCTCCAGTCCTAGTGCACTGCTACCTGTGGTTTGTCACCTCTGCATCCCAGAGAGGTATCAGTTGCACTGAGAAAAAGATCCTTCAAGTCCTATATGTTACCCATGTGGATTCCGTAGTCCCATTATTGGGGGAAACAAGAGTAAACTCACGGCTTCCCCAACAAGCATGACATAGGAGTTGACTAATAGGGTTTTTCTTTAAAGTCGCAGTACATCTACCTGAGAAGCAAAGAACCAACAGTCTGCATACAAATAAACCAAATGTGTGAAATGGATGTGCACACAAAACTGAATTCCTTGAACGAGACTAAAGTCCAAAAATGGCAAAACAAAAAATCTTCTGCTGGAGTTTGTAGCCAGTGAATGCAAAAAAGTCCTGTATAAAACCAGTGAAATGTTTCTGTAGAAAATGTATAGAATGTCTTGGTCAGACAGAAAAAAAGCAAATAATCTCGAACAAGAAGTGTAAACTAAAGGAATGAGACATACAACCAAGATATTTTAGTTGTGCTATAAGGAGAAGGTGTTTGTGCTTTTGGGGTTGAGGATGAGGTTTCTAATTCTGAAATACCCGGTTTGATTTGGCAGCAGACTTCTTTGCGTTGATTTGTATGTAGTTTAGGCCATTCAGAAAGCAGTGGCAAAATACTGAAAAGCAAACTACTGAACTGCGTGGTAAAAACAGTTGCTGGAAGTTAGTGTCACTGTCCTGTAAAGGATACGCAACTTACTAAGAAAAAGTAAACTTGAAGACTGACTGACAACAGACAGACTTATATTTTTTTTAAAGGAGGTAGAGGGTGTAAGACTGATTAATTTCATTGTACTGGGTTTAGAACAATGGAGTTTGGCATCCAACCAACAGCCTTCAGAACAGAGTCCGACATCCAACCAACAGCCTTCAGAACAGAGTCCAACATTCAACTAACAGCCTTCAGAACAGAGTCCAACATCCAACTAACAGCCTTCAGAACAAACAGCTTGAACACTTTTCCCTCCATTGCTAGTGTAAGTTGAGTCATTTCTTTTGTGTGTGACTACTGTCTGTATGTACCACTTTTTATGGTGGTGTAGACAGGGGGTCGTGAGGATTAGGGCCACATGGCTAGAGCTGTCATCATGGACTGTACATGTTAGGATGTTTATTGTTGCCCCTGATAGACAAACTCCATCACCTTACCTGGGGTCGAACCAAGGCCTCCTGTGTAAGAGCCCGATGTTGTAACTGTTCTGCCAGCCACTCCTTTTATTTGTGTATAAGCTGATTAGTGTCAGCAGTTATCAGTTTTCTTTATGCCTGATGGCACATGAGGCTTCAGAGAGGACTTTCCATGCTTTCCTGTTCTGTGCAATCTTTAGTGCAGATTTCTGTGTCAGAGATGGTGCACTCAGGTCACTTTCCATCGTCCGTCTCCATGTTGTTTAGGCGCCTCTTCTTTCTAGTTTCCTCTGATATCCATGTGAGAGCTGTTTTGGCACGTATATCAGGATTCATTCTCATAACGTGGCCAAGCCATTTTCATCTTCTCTTGGTTATTATACTGTCTAGAGTTTCTTGGTTTGTGGCTTGAAGTAGCTTAGTGTTTGTGCTTAGCTTAGCTCAGTTAAAACACAGAGAAAATGGCATTATATTGGACACAGGGGATCACTAAAGTGGCACCATGTGGGAAAGTGAGCGATTGAGGCAACGAGGACATCCAAGAGAAAGGCAAACGTTGATGAGAGATGCCAAAGATGTTGGACAGAATTCTGTCCGATATTCAAGTGATTGCTCTGAATAGAACAGAATAACATTTAATCAGAAAGCTACTAGCACCATTAGTATCGGAACTCTTCGCTGGCTGCTGAAGATGAGGACGGAGCGCTTATGAGAATGCCCCAAGTGCTGTGATGTGGGTTCTTAAATCAAATAGAATAGAAAAAGTTGACAGTGCACCCTGTTTGACACATAATGGCACATCAGGACAATGAATGAATGTGTTGAGTCGATTCATGACTTTGGTGTTAGAGCAATGGTTTTCCTGTGCTTGTTTGCTGTTAATATAAAATCATAGCAGTTTTGTTTTGAATTACAACTGTATATCAGCTGTATATTGTGACCATGTTCCCCTTGACTTGATAGAATGGATGTTTAAATTAGACATTGATATGTAGATTTTAGAAGTTGTTAGCTCTGGGTGATGATTATCACCCCTCAAAACTCTAGTCTCCAAGCATTTGGCTGACATTTTCTGAGACAACTTTGGGTTTAAAACTTTTCATGAAATTGTATGTACCAAATTTAACTAGGATCTGTCGTTTTTCAGTTTTTTTTTTTTTTTTCTGTATTGATATAATAATGTGAATAAATGTACAGAACCTAGACACATTTGTTTTAGTTGTTTCTTTAGGAATATTATAATTCCAACAATCAGTCAGATGTCATCTCCACTGTGAAGGTTGACTGCAGTAGATTTGCAACATGCGGTGCCCATATTGTCCTTCCATGTGTATCGCTGTCTACCTCATGCTCGCTTGCCTTCATTTTTTTCATCAGTGTCTAAAGTACTCCAGTCCTCTCTCACTGATGTGGAATTTCAGCATAGTGCATTAACTCTCTGGAACTGATTGATTAGTCTGTGACTTTGTCCCCTCCAGGCTACT